CGAAGATTTGATGTTATTCAATCCGAATCATAGTCATTTTCTCTTAAAACCATTTACAATGCTAGAATTGGACTGTGCCCTTAGTGATCGTCCTAACACTTCTCCTGGTTATGATGAAATCAAATATGTTATGCTACTGAATTTACCAAATAATGCAAAAGAGTTACTTCTAAATATTTTTAATCAGATAATTAGAGAAGGTTCTAACATTTCAGCCTTCAAACATATTATTGTCATTCCTATACCCAAACCTGGGAAAAATCTAAAATTAGTTGAAGCTTACAGACCCATATCTTTATTATCTTGTGTACAAAAAACTCTAGAGAGGATAATTAAGGCTAGGTTAGAATGGTGGTTACTAGAGCAGAACCTTCTACCCAAAGAACAATACGGATTTAGGAAAGGTTTTGGTACTTTGGATGCATTGGCTACCCTAGTTGTAGACATTCAAAACAATTATTCCCGAAACAATTACTTACCAGCATTATTTCTTGATATAGAAGGTGCTTATGACTCTGTGTGTTTAATAGCACTTAAAGAAAAAATGACAAGAATATTTCAAATTCCAGCCCAATTTGCCGCTAGTATTGTTAATCTATACTCAAACAGATTAGTTTATTTAAGAAAAGAACAAATGCTCATAGGCCCCAGAATCGTAAACAAAGGATTACCTCAGGGTTCTGTATTGAGCCCTATCCTGTTTAATATGTACGTAGCGGACTTGTACAATATTAAAATAAATAACATACCCTTCAACCTCATACAATATGCAGATGATTTCTGCATTTACACAGAACACAAAGAATATCAAACAGCAATTAAAAACTTGGATAGTATCTATCAGCTACTTCAAAAATGGCTCCATAAAAACAATTTTGAATTATCTTGCAATAAATCTCAGGTTTGCATTTTTACTAGACATTATAAACCTAACGATCAAATAATTAAATTAGGAGAGCATCAATATCCACTAAAAAGTAAGGTCAAATATTTAGGGATGACACTTGACAAACATTTGACTTGGAAGGATCATATTGAGGATATGTTAAACAAATGCAACAAGGGAATAAATTTCCTTAAATCGATTAATAAAACGTGGTGGGGTGCTGATGTAGATGTAAATTTATTATTCTACAGAGCGTATATCCGCTCCATTTTTGATTACGGAAGCATATTTTATGGATCAGCCAGTAATGTATTGCTAAATAAAATTAACGTAATACACAATTCAGCTTTACGTATATGTTTAGGTGCTATGAAGTCCACACCAATTCAACCCTTGTATTTGGAAGCCTTGGAACCACCTTTAAATATCAGACGAAACTTCCTGTCCGAAAAATTTCTGGTAAAGACATATATAAAAAATCAATCCTTATACACAAAGATCTTGACTTTGAATTGCTATGATTTGTCTACTAAATACTGGGAAAAAAAGAAATCGCCTTTAGTCTGCGAAGCTCTGCAACATAATATGGAAGCATTAAAAGAGATAGATAAAGCTACGTATACACTTCAAAACATTTCATATGCAACATATTGTGCAAATACAGATATCATGGTACCAAAATATAGTGACAATATACACATAAACAGACAGATTATTCACTCAATATTATCAGAATTCAAAAACTCCGTCGTTATATATACTGATGCTTCCAAATCATCAAACGGCACTGGATGTGCTTTTTTTGTCCCGTTGGAAAAAATAGAACACACATTTAAGTTAAACTCCCAGACCTCTATTTTTACAGCGGAAGCTCTTGCAATATATGAGGCCTTACTTTATGCAACAGAAAGTAGCTCGGATCATATAGTGATATTATCAGATTCTTTATCAGTTTTGACCTCTATTGGGAAACCGGGATTGCCAAATACGTACAGTTGCCCTTATATTTACAAAATTAAGAATATCAAACAAAAGTTAGTAACAAGGGGCAAAAATGTGGTCTTTGTTTGGATTAAAGCACATATAGGTTTGGAAAATAATGAACATGTAGACCAATTAGCAAAGAAAAGTATTTTATCTGGTAGAGAAACTTCGTATAAAATCACGGCTTGCGACTTTCTGGCTTTCTTAAAAATAAGATTATATCAAAGATGGGATAATATATGGAAGGAATATTCCATTGTTAGCCCAAATAGATACACTTCTCTTCAAACAGATATTCCTAAAACACCTTGGTATAAGTCTTTTAATGTACCTAGAAAATATGTTACCACGATCATTAGACTAAGATTTGGACATGCTTGTTACCCCAAACATTTATTTAAACTCAAGGTTTTAGATAATGATCGATGTGAATTTTGTACAGAAGAAGGAAACCTAGATCATATATTTTTCAGTTGCCCCAGAAATACTATAATTTCAGCAAGATTAATAAATAACTTACATAAATACAATATATTAGCCCCTTGGAACCTTCAGTACTTATTATCACTAGACTCGAGACCAGTGTATGATTCCTTAGTTATGTTTTTAAAGGATAGTAAAATAACCATGTAAATAATTATGCATTAGTTAATAAAGTAACCTTTGTTTCTTACCCAATTGTCAAATTCCCCTCTTACCGTGGCCTAGTGTTGTATGTCTTAAAAAAAAAAATGCCTTGATGGGCCCCTAGGCGAGAAGAGAGTGACCCTGTTTACCTGTTCTTTGTTTTGTATATTTAGTAATATAAACTCAGACAACTATTTTTTTACCATGTTGAGTCTGGCTGAATGACTAACAGTCTATGCCATAAAAAAAAAAAAAAAAAAAAAAAAAAAAAAAAAAAAAAAAAAAAAAAAAAAAAAAACATGCTATAAATAATGCTAAAATTAGAAAAGCTTATGGTCTAGATGATACACCAACTGAGTTGCTGAAACTAATAGAAAATGATAACATAAAAGTAGTAGTAAGACTTTTTAATTCAATATAATATCACCGGAGTGATTCGCGCAGATTGGCTTAAATCCATCTTTGTCGCAATACCTAAAAAATACAATGCGAGAAAATGGCCAGAATATCGATTAATTAGCCTAATGAGCCACACCCTTAAAATTTTCCTCAGAATAGTCCACAACAGAATTACACGCAAATGCAAAGAAGATCTTGAAGATACTCAATTTGGTTTTAGAAATGCTATGGGAACCAGGGAGGCACTTTTTGCGCTTAACATCCTATTACAGAAATGCCGTGACCAAGAAAAGATGTATTTGCCTGTTTCGTGGACTTTAAAAAGGCATTCGATAAACTACAGCATGTAAAATTAATGCAAATACTGAAAAAAATCGGAGTAGATGACAAGGATATTCGTGTCATTAAAAATTTGTACTGGAATCAAACTGTTATCGTAAAAATTGGAGATACCTACACCGATGAAATCTCTATACAACGAGGAGTCAGACAAGGTTACATTTTGTCGCCAACATTGTTCAATGTTTACTCGGACCAGTTATTTAAAAGGGTACTTGAGAGACAACCATATGGAATACAAATCAACGGGGAACTACTTAATGTGATTAGATATGCAAACGTTACAGTAATTCTATCAGATAATATTGAAGGTTTTCAAATTCTGCTTGATAGTATTCACGAGGTAGGAGAGGAAATAGGCATTAAAATAAAATTAAAAAAAAAACAAATTTTTAGTGTTTAGTCGTGAACCACATCCCGATGCAAATCTTCAATTAGACGGAGTCCAAGTTGAGAAAGTTCACAAAATGACATATTTGGGAACTGTGATAACGGACCAACTAGATCCAGACATAGAAATATAACGTAGAATAGTATTGACTAAAACTACTTTTATGAAAATAAAGTCATTTCTTTGCAATAACCATCTCAGTTTAGAACTAAGGCAAAGAATGGTTAAGTGCTATGTTTGGTCCGTACTTTTGTATAGTGCAGAATTGTGGACGCTAAAAGTATCTATCATGAACAAAATTAGAGCATTGGGAAAGTGGGTTCATAGAAAAATGCTGAAAATACCTTGAACAGCAAGAAAAACTAATGAAGAAGTACAACGGAGCGTCAACAAAGACAGAGAACTGCTAAAGACTGTTAAACATTGAAAAATGTCTTATCTGGGACATATAGTAAGGGGAAGTCGATATAAAATATTACAACTGATCCTTAAAGGTAAAATAGAGGGCCGTAGAGGTGTAGGAAGAAAACAAGTTTCTTGGTTAAAAAACATTCCTGAATGGACTCAGATACCAAATTCAGGACAATTATTCCATATTGCAGAAGATCGAGAAGACTTCGCAATGGTGATCGCCAACGTCGGATAATTCTAATATGGCACGCGAAGAAGAAGGTGCTTTCTAATGCAAATCCAAAAAATACGTACATACATTATAAGATACCTCGTATAAAGTACTACCGTATTCTATTAATTAATGGTTATACTACTAAACTAAATTAATATTTGTTTTTAGTTTTAATACAGCGACAATATTATTTTTATCTAGTGTACTTAATTAAGTAAATATCGTATTAATATTCCCAAGAGATCTTGATATAATTTATATACACAAAACAGCCACATAAATATAATCATCTGATATCAATCAACATTTTGTCCGCAAAAAAATCCTCTAGAGCTTTCTAAAAAACGAAGTCATAGGTAGTAAACACTACATATTTCAAGAGCTTCCCTTTGAAATACCAAAACAATAGGAAATCGATGGGTAAAGGGATGTCCAAAGAGTATGCGTCATTCTGAGGGCATTGCCAAGTTTTCAATGAAATATTTAGATTCAACGCCACACATACGATCTGATAGTTTGTCAGTTTAGAACATATTTCCCAGTAACCGTAAATAAGGATTTAGGAAGTATTTAACGTATAGTAATCAAAACTCCTTTTATTTTTATATCATTTAGAAAAATGTACCGAACTTTTTAAGTATTCGCGAATTATATAAAAATATCGATTCGATTGGCAACGCTGTGCGAGCTTCCCCGTTTTAACTCGTAATACACATTTATCTGTTTTCAAAAACATCAGTATCTGTTTGTAGGTCTAATAAATAAAATTACAATCAATTATAAACGTTTGTGGATGATAAACATCTCTTGTAAGTGTTACTCTAATTACTAGGTATCTAATCTAGTGTGATAATGTAGAAGTTGGTACAGAAATATCAAGTGCTGAATAATACCAAATGATTCAAGTAAGTGAATATGTATACCTATTTTTTAACTTATGTAACTATATTGAACTTTTAATAATTATTCCGTGTTATTGATTTATAATGTGCAATGCTGTTACTGTGTGGTAATTTTGTATATTGTTTTATCGTGTCTTGGTATTGTTACTTTGCCGGTACGCTTACTTTACAAAAAATTTAATTTTAAGTATCATTACAGTTCATGAATTTTATTTTAACGATAATCCAATAAAGAAATAATGAAATGAATTATACGCGTAATATCGTAAGTTATCGGATAATTTAACTGTCATTATGAGTTTTACCAAGAAGCATATCAGTAGCGAAGAACTTATTTTTTATTTAGCATGGCATCTTCTTCTTAGAGTGCCGTCTCCCTAAAAGGTTGGCAATCATAATGGTTATTTTTATTTTAGAACTTGCTGCTCTAAACAAATTAATCGATTTGCATTGATACTAATCACGTAGATTCTTAAACCATGAGTTCTGCCTTCGGCCAACAGATCTTCTTCCTTGAATCTTTCCCTGTGTTATGAGTCTCATAATTTCATATTTTGGTCCCCTCATCACGTGGCCTAGGTATTTCAGTTTTCTGGTTTGTATAGTGGTGATTAGTTCTGTTTCTTTACCAACCCTCTCCAGTACTTCTTTATTTGTAATTCTACCAGTCAATGATATTTTCAATACTCTGCGATATAACCAGAGTAGAAGGCCTAGATTCTTTTTAAATTACATTTTTTTAATGTCGAAGTCTCAGCTCCATAGAATAATATTGAAAATATATAACAGCGAATGGTACGTAGTCTGATCTCCAAATTTAGATTTTTGCACGTTAGGAGTGGCTTCATTCTTATAAATGCTGATCTGGCAATCTCTATCGCCTGTTTATTTCTACTGGTTTCACTGATCAAAGTTCCCAAGTACTAATATTTTTCTACTTGCTCTATCACGTTACCATTGATTATCAATAGGTGATGTATATTTTGTGGTCTCTTTGTAATTAGCATGTACTTCGTTTTTTAGTGTTTATAGTAATTCCCATCTCAGCACTATTCATACTCAAGCTTTCGATATGATATTGTAGATCCTCTATACTTGTTGCTATGATCACAGTGTCGTCTGCATATCTTAAGTTGTTAATTAATTTTCCGTTAACGGTGACTCCTGCTTCGATATTATTGAGCGTGTTTTGGAAATATTTTTTAGGATATAAGTTAAACAAAAGTGGTGATAAAACACATCCCTGTCTAACTCCTCTACAGATCCTCATTTCTTCTGAGTGTTTCCCATCAATTTGAACTATGGCACTTTGGTTCCAATATAATGTTTGCACTATATTTATGATTTTACTCTCAATGCGCTTGTTCATAAGTATTAATATTAGTTTTTCATGTCTTACCGAATGCTTTTTCGTAGTCAACGAAGCACAAGTGTAGATCAACATTTACATCCCGACATCGCTGAATCAATATATTGATGGAAAATAGTCCTTCTCGAGTACCCATTCCATTTTGGAACCCGAACTGCGTCTCGCTAATATCCTCCTCTAGTCTTTCGTATATTCTCTTATGTATTATTGACTCATGAGGTTTAGTGTTCGATAATCAGAGCACTCTTTTGCTGCTTGCTTTTTTAGGGATGGTTATAAATGCTGACTTCAGCCAGTCTTGTGGCATTATTCCCGTATCGTACACCGTGTTGAATAAATCTGCCAATACTTCCAAGTTATCCTCTTCCACTAGTTTTAACAGTTCTACTGGTATTTCATCTAATCCAGCTGCCTTATTGTCTTTAGAGTTTTTGATAGCATATTTGATTTCATCTGTCGTGATCGTCTGTCCCTCTAAAGGATTTAATTCTTGTATTTTCTGCATTTCACCTCTTTCGTCTTGGAAAATTTCTCTAACGTACTCCTCACATCGCTTTAACTTTTCTGGTAAATCTATTCGTAGTACTCCTTTTTTATCTTTTATGTGTCCTTGCTGTCTATTTCGACCCATTCCAGTCTTCTAATTTTTTTGTGCATATTTCTCATATCATATTTTGTTTCTAGTTCCTAGTTTAGTTTCTCTTTACATTGCTTCACCAAATAGATTTCCTTAGCTGCTTTGATTTTTTCCTTAATTATTCGTTGTATTTCTTTATACTTCTGTAGTTTTTTTCCTTTATATTTCCTTCTTTCTTCCATCAGTAATAGTATTTCTTCTGTTATCCAATGTTTTTTAGCCTCCGACCTCCTCTCCTCCTCCTCCTCAGTCCCAATCTCTTTTGGGATGTGGTGACACCATCAGGCCTTCACAGTGTTTTTAGGATTTCCCTCCATCCTTCTCTGTCCTGGGCTAGTTGTTCGGCTTCATGTAACCCTTTGTTAATCAATGTTTTTATTTGATCTACCCAACGGCTTGGAGATCTTCCCCTAGGTCTTTTTCCTTTAACTCTACCCTCGACTATCAATATTTCCACCGTGCCTGTTCTTCTAGCAATGTGTCCAAAATACTGCAAATATCTCTGTTGTATTTGTTTAAGCAATCTATCCTTTACTTTAAGTTGTTCTAGTATCGATACGTTAGTGCGATGATCAATGCAGGATATTCTCAACATGCGGCGGTATACCCACATTTCAAAAGCGTTGTTGTATATTATATTAAACTTTCTTGAGCTGATTTCAGTAATGTGTTTTTTATATTATACCACTTTTTATTTTCATCTATAATTTGTTTGCTGTCAGTTAATGTTTTTTACATATTAACATTCACATTATTTTTAAACTCGTTTTTTATTTCTTCGTTTTGTAGCATTCCTACGTTAATTTTTGGTTGTTGTTTTCTGAGTTCAATTCTTTTTAATTTTATTTTCACGTCAGCCACTAACGGATTGTGGTCTGAGTTAACATCTGCTCCAGGAGAAGTTTTAACTGAGGTTATAGAGTTTTTATATCTTACGAGTATAAAGTCTATCTGGTTTCTGACAATGTGGTTTCTGTATGTGAAGGAGTCGTCCATGTATATAGTCTTTTTTTAGGAAGCTAAAACCAAGTATTGGCAATTACCATATTCTTTTCTTGGCAGAATTCTATGAGTCTTTCTCCTCTCTCGTTTTTAGTTCCTAGTCCGAAATATTATATTTTCAACTGTACCTACTCAAATTTTTCATTAAAATCTCCTAAAATGTAAATAATATCTCTAGATTTTGTTAACTTGATTGTATTGTGCAATTCTGAATAAAACTTTTCGATCTCATCTTCGGTCTATCAGCAGTGGAAGCGTAGACTTATTATCATATTAATATTACAGTTCCGTGCTTGAATTTTTAGCATTATTATTCTTTCTAAGATTTGAATCACACCTATTTTAGTACTGATTTTCTAATAGTGTTACTTATGATGAAAGCTACTCCGTATCGATGATCGGTTTTGTCTCCTCCAGTGTAATAAATGGCATTAATATGATATATGGCATATTAAGAACATAATTATACTAAAATTTTTTTAATTGAAGGTGATTATTTGGCAACATCGCACTTAACGAAGCCCTTAATGATATCTTTTCAACGAAATCATATTCCACTTATCAATTTTGCAGAGGCGTACCAAAAAAAATTTAATTATTTATTTAAACATATAAGTAATTACGTAACCCCCTCTGTGGCTCAGTGGTAAGAGCGCCTGCCTTTAAATCTAAAGGTCGTGAGTTCGAATCCCACCTGGGTGGAAATTTTCGTTTATTAAAAAAATTAATAAATGAAAATAATTTCTATCCTTGTGTGATCGGTACACACCGGAGGGACCGCAGACGTTCGGATACAATTAGCGTCTCTTAGCAAAGACAATGACGTCGACTTTGCTAAGTATCAAGACAATTACTCTACACACACACACACACACACACACACACACACACACACACACTACACCTCAAATTGTAAGATTGGCGAATGGATTGAGTGTCCGCAGTCATTTAAACACAAACAAACAACAACAAGTAATTACGTAAAAAATAAATCTAAGACCGATATAATTATTAAATTATCATGTGTGTTTTGACCGGTATCTTATAGTTGTCTAACAAAATAAAGTGAAATTGTATTATTATAGAGAGCCTAATACAGTACTTCAAAACACACAAATCTTTGCAAAATACTGTTTTTTCTTTATTCTTAATCATTCTCTATTTATAAAATTGTTGTGTGCTATGAACGTTATATTTGTTTTGTTTTAACTTGATTTGAATTGATTTAATTATTTATTTTAACACATAAGTAATTACGTAAAAATTAAATCTAAGACTGATATAATTATTAAATTATCATGTGCCTTTTGACAGGTGTCTTATAGTTGTCTAACAAATTAAAGTAAAATTTTATTCTTATTAGAGAGTACCTAATACAGAACTTAAAAAAAACACTTTGAGAAATACTTATTTTTTCATTAGACTAAACAATCTGAAATTTTAACATACAATATCGTCATTACACATAATTCTCTATTTATAGAAATGATGTGTGCTGTAAACGTTATATCGGTTTTTTTTAACTTAATTTAAAAGTTTCCTTGTGTTTATTTGTTTATATAAATATAAAAATATATTATGAAGTGCATATAAATTAAAATGAAGTAAGCTAAACTATTATCATGCGAATGCGTGTATATAGTAGTGAATTTGTTTATTTCAGTAAATTCTCGAAACATGAAATGAAGATGGCACTAACTACTAAAGAGTTAATAGCTTTGTTAGAAGAAGACTCAGATTGTGAAAATGATGACTGACTTGTGGTTTATTTGACGCCGAGATTAGATTAGTAAGTTTTTGATGTAGAAACTCCTCTGAACAACAGATAAAACGCCCAAAGAAAAAACCAGGCAAAAATAGTAAATCCAAATTCGACTCAAGTTGTAACATCAGATACTCCTTCGTGCTCAGTAGTAATTCAACTTGAGTCTGATTGATATTTAGACAATATAAAATCCAACTATGGAGGCAAGTTATATGTTGAAGTTTTTTCAC